TAAATAGTATGCCTTAACTACTAAGACAATCCACCACTTGCATGCAACTATCTAATCTTAGATTGGATTTGGCTGACTATTTAAACGATGACATCTTTTTGAATCTCACTTTTTTCTTTCTTACATAGTAAGTTATTATTTTTATGTAGTTCGGGCGTGTTGTAAGACTGCCTGTTTGGTTTAAATTGGATAATAATAGCAAAATGTCCACGTGATATCTAATCTTCTAATTGGTCGCATCCGAACTAACCTTTTCATTGGTAACTTCCACCCAGACCTTTTGATTGGCTAAATTTGACTGTTCAGAGAACGTTATCTGGTGATTGAATTTTCTTTGTTGACGTTTGCAAAAATGATTAAGCAATCACGAGTAGACAAAAAGTTAAAGGTTCGATCAAATGTAACGATACATTCATTTTCACTTGTAATGGAAAGTTCTTAGGTTCGATTCTCGCCAAATGAGAATTAAAAACACATTATCGCTAGACCATTATGAGGCTAAGCCCACCATCTATCTCTCTCTCTTAATGTAGATATATCAGTTGTTAAAAAAAATTTAAAAAAAAAAAAGTGGTGTCACGGTCCCAACCAATCTATTAAAACAAAAAGTTCTTATGTGAGGTATGTAGATGTAGTAGCAGAGAGCATTTCTACTATACATACATTCAAGTAGACCTGTAAACGGGTCGGGTTTATTGGGTTTGGGTCGGGTTCAATCCAACCTATTAAGCTAACGGGTCACCCAAACCTAACCCGTTAAGCCTAATAAGTGACCCATTTCACCCGTTAACAATATTTTTTGTTTTTTTGTTTTGTTTTGTTTTGTTTTTTTTTTTTTAAAGTTTTGCATTCCAATACAAATTGCACATCTTTTACCCAAAATTGCAAACATTAACTAACAGTCTAACATCTATATATATATATATATATTAGCTCCTTCACCACCGCAGAGGTGGCTTCTTCGTCGAAAGGCTTGGCCGCCGCCTGCTTCTCCTCCACAATCGCCATCGAACCCATGGTAGAACTAGAAATGGATAGATAGAAGAATAACGTATGTATGTGTGTGTGTGTGTATGAATCGAGTGTGTGCGGGATGGAGAAGTGGGAAGATCTCTCTCTATCTAACTTGCGAAAGTTAATCGCAATTGCACAACAAAAGCACAATCACAATTGAAATCATCAAACACAAATCAACTAATTCCAAATTAATTCGAAGCTCAAGCAAAAACTGAGAAAAATAGACGAAAATTATAATCTGCATAAACAAAAAGTAATCGCCATGGAAGAAAAGGTGAAAGGGAATCGGAACTTACCGGAGAGAGGGTGACAGAACTTAGTGAAACCTTGATTTTTGAGGAAGAATATGGGGGAGAGAACGGCAGCCCCGGAGAGGAACGTGCAGTCCGGGTTCGAACGTGAAAGAACAGACAGAGCTAGGTTTTCTATTCCAACTATGAAATTACACAAAAGTTCTCACTAATGGGTGTTAACGGGTGCTAACGGGTTTCGCAGGTTGATCCAAAATGACCCGTTATTTAACGGGTGACTAATGGGTTGACCCGTTAACAACCCAACCCGTTAAGCACTCACCCAAATACTAGTTTTAACGGGTCAGGTAGGGTTCAAAATGCCAGCCCTACATTCAAGGCGAGTTTTAATCCTCTTTTCAACTCTAACCTCCCATGTGAGTTTGTAACCTTAATGAAAAATAATATTAATGTACTAAGATTATGACAAAAAATATGAATATAAATTTTGTTAATTGGCTAAAGTAAAGTGCATAATTGATGCTCCAATCGAAAACAAATAAGTGGGGCCATGTCAGTACGACTGAATATACGGTTGAAAGGCTAATTCCTTCCCTACGACACCAAAAAAAATGGGGCCAAACTTCTGCCCGCCCGATTCCATAAAACAATATCATGGCAACGTATACCTAAGTGGTCATACTAGATCCTTGGGAACCATCACAAGTACGGCCGGCCTATATTTAATATCCCTTTATATACAAGTTGAATCCTCTTCTTTTCTCGTGAATAAGAATAGTTTATATCATCTGCAAACAAAAAGAAAAAGTTTGTTTAAGAATGATATTAAATGAGTGTTTTTCATGTTTATTGTGAAACTGTGTGGTGTTCTAATGGTGTGTGTGACATCTTGGTTGTGTTTGACATGCTTATTTTATGTACTTCTTGATGGTTTCTTGATAAATTCTTACTACCTTAAAAAATAGTGTTTTTTTTCAAGTGAGAAGTGATGTGTTTTACTAACAAAATAAGACATTTCTTTAAGTACTATATTTCATTAGTAGAAGAACACACATTTTTTAGTACGATGATAGCGTTAGTGTGTTAAATAGTTAATCGTTAAAAGGAGAAGAATTGGTGAGATCGAACCTTCATCAGGGTGTATAGGCATTTATAAAATAACAAACCTTTACAAATACATATTCATGAAAATGCAGTCGATAAGAGTACTTCTTGTCTTCTACATATCATAGCCTGGGTATTTATCAAGGATTTCAGATCATCTATCCAATGGGATATTCTTTACAAGACTAAGATGCACATAATCTCTATAGTTCTGAGATGCGTCTAACATAGGCTCGCATACTCTCACCACGTAGTCATCTATGGAGAACTTGTCTCCTACAAAACCCAGCATAGGTTATTAGTCAAAGATGATTATTGCACGTACTTCTTTTTTACAACTACACCAGTGATTTGATCTTCCTTCTCGGAGATATATAAGCAGTCCAATTTAGATTCAATCACACTCGCCAATCAACCACATTTTCCCATTCACACCATCCACAAAAACTTCAAATTGATTTTGGATCTGTAAAAAATAATTTTTGCACTTCTACAAGATCAGTTTTACAGTTCATGCACTTTTGCAAGGCCAAATTTAAAAATTTCTCCACTTCTATTCAATTTTAAAATTACAGCACTTTTACATGATCAGTTTCAAAATTTCAGCATTTCTGCAAAATTAGTTTCAAAATTTTCAGCACTTTTACAAGATCAATTTCAAAATTTCAGCACTTATACAACATCAATTTCAAAATTTTTAGCACTTCTGCAAAATCAATTTCAAAATTCTAGCATTGCTACAAGATCAATTTTAAAAATTTTAGCACTTCTATAAGATCCATTTCAAAAATCCAGCACTTTAACAAGATCAATTTTAAATTTTTTAGCACTTCTACAAGATAAATTTCAAAATTCCAGCTCTTCTGCAAGATCAATTTTTTAAAAACTTTAGCACTGATGCAATATCAGTTTCAAAATCCCAGCATTTCTGTAAAATCCATTTCAAAATTCTTCCACTTCTGGAAAAGTTCAAAATTCATACATCCAAATCATCAGAACCTCAAAAATCAAATACGTTAAAAAAGCATGTGGTCCACTACCTAGTAGATAAGGTGTCGGGTTTCCACCAATGCGTCTAGGGTACAAACTCCCCCTCACCTAAATTATTGTGATAGTTTCAAACTCGCCCCTTCTCCTTAATAATAATAATTTAGAAAAGAAAAAAATACTTCTAGGAAAATACAAAATAAGAAATCCCAATCGTTCTCGTAAAAGAAAAAAAAAACCCATAAATTTGAAGAACAATATGTAGAAGAAGAGGAAGAGAGAATAACGAAGAAGAGGTATGACACACCCTGACCGAGGTCAAGGCATGCTGGCTGTCATATGAGAGTGACGTAGCCATGTGCATAGTGCGGAAGCGATAAAGATAGCAAATATACGAATAATTAAAAACCAGATTATTCAAGTGCACTACTAAACAGAAAGTGATAGGAGTTAGTTACAACAGTAAACACTCATAATTCAGAGCATACAGTCTAGGTGCAGTCCAGTAGGATAAGTACTAGTTACACAGTACCAGGAATGTCCTACAATTAATCAAATAGGTCAGAACTGCCGAAGATCCTGAGCCACCAACAGCAATCTTACTTAAAACTTGGAGGGGCGCAAAACAGAAAACGTGAGTGGGCAAAAACAAATGTTTTACAAAACCATTTCATTTATCAACATAACTAACCCCTCGCTGTAAAACATGTATAATTTTCCCAGAATCAAGATATAAGCATATACATACATATATATATTTATATATATCTGAAATCAAATCAATTCAATTCATACTTCACATAATCATATTCATATGTATATATGCCATACCAAGATATAATAGAGTAAACAATTTAGGTAAGAATAAATTCCTAGAAATATGATATGTTAGCCGGAACCCCTGACGTGGTCTATACGGCTGAATTCATAGCTCAAACTCAATCTAGCCGGAGTCACTACTATGACCTATACGGCAATATACTGCACATAAGTCAGAACCACTGAAAAGGGTCTGTACGACAAGGTTGGGTGAAATACAGTTATGCTCAATTCTATTCTCTCATAATAGCCGGGCGATAAATCGCTAGTCACCTACGAGTCGGAACCATAAACAAGGTCTGTACGACAAGAATGTGCACTTAAGTTGGATCCAATATGAGCATATAGTGCGGGAGGTGACGTAAATAAACAGGCATGTACTTCATATTTCTGGTTAATTCACAAACACCCTAGGTGCAGCTTTATGAGCTCAACATTACTTAATCACATATCACATTTCACATATCATCGATGATTCACATAACCAAACATAACTTACCTAAACTCACTTGTGCCTCTACAGCACCACATTTATATATATATGCAACCATGCAATGCATATTCAAAATATAAAAGCATTTGACATATTATTTCAAAGCATATTTTCATTTAAAACACATTTCTGGGAAATTTAACAAGTATATAACTACATACTGAAAACAAAAGCCCACTCACTGATATGTCGACGGGTCGTAACCCCCGAGTCGCCCGTGGATACACTCGTCCTCGGGATAAGATTCACCTATATGGAATTAACTATAAAAACGTTATTTTAAAGCACATAGACAAAACTAGCTAATAACTTCTCATACATTGCTCAAAATGGGTATATGAATTTGCCACAGTGATCTACATAACCTCACGAGCATCGTGATATTTTTAGAAAATTTTTCCTATGACTCACGCGCCGGGGAGGGCACGGCCTCACGCGCCGCCCACGAGCATTGTCTTCAACCGCCAAACTCTGGCGACCGTTGCCAGCGCCGGAAACTGGGCAATATTTCAAACTCCTTAATCTCACTCATTTCTTCACCATTTTTCATGCAATTTGTACCAAAATGAAGCTTAGGAGATAAAGAATCGCGTTATACCTCTTTCACACCTCGAATCACGTGAAATCACGTCGGAGAAATCCTCAAACTCCGGCGACCTCTGCAAAACTCCGTTTTCGAGCTTCCCGCGACCCAAATCCTACCAACGATGTACTCCGAGCATCGTGATGACCTCTTTGAGCTCATTGTGGTCCTAAAATTTACAAAAACTCAAGGGTTTAAAAGTTGGTGAATAGTGTCACCCTCGGAGGTTCGATTTCCATGGTTTCCTTACGTTCAAACTTAGTCAAAACTCATCCAAAACACTTATGAGGAAGAGGAGATACCTTTACAAGCCTTGAAATGGTTCGAAACCTCCACGAACTGGTTTGGTGTACTGTACACCCACGGCTCCCTTTCAAACTAGGGTTTCTCGAAGGTTTCCTTGCTGAAAATGGGTACCACTCGACTCGTAAGGATCCTAGGAACCCACTGGAGACCTCAGAACCTTCGATCCGTGTAGATCTTAGGTTTGCTTGTGTGTGTCCGTACCAGTTCGAAGAGAGAGAAAGAACCGAGAGGGAGAGTACGGGAGATGAGAGAGAGAATGGAGGAGTGATGTGTGGTGCAAAATTAGTCAACCACCCAATCACAACCCAAAGTTTCTAAATTCCTAAGTGGTTCCAAAAACTTAGGAAAACTTAATTAGTCCCATTCAAAACAAATCACACACCACACACTTTTAATGTCCAAGGGCACTTTCGTCATTTCACGTCAATGGGAATAAAATAGTACCCATCTCTGGGACGGGTTATGACAGGTATGAGGAGGAAGAGAATATCGAAGAAGTAGGAGGAGAGAGAAAGAAAGAGAAAGTACCCAAGGAAAAGAAATAAGTAGAGAGAAACTCATCTTTCAAACATAATAAGTAAAATTGTAAATGTAAAGACAATTAGTAAAATTACCATGATATTACATGCCCCATGGAAAACTTTTGTCCCTCTATTCAAAAACTTTATCTCTTTAAAATATAGTCTTATAATTTGACACATAAGTATGTGCATCTTCTGCCACTTAATACTATAGTTCAGTGATTGTAACTGAGAGGTTTTAGGTTTGATTCTCGTCAAATGTAAAATTGAACCACATTATTTCTAACAATTATGAGACTAGGTCCGTCTTTATCTTTAATGTAGATAATATCATTTGTTCGATAAAACTATGTATATCTTCTAAAACAATAAAAGAAAAAAATTAATAGAAAATCTTATCCAATATTGTGATATACATCAGCATCTAAGCCGTTTAGGGTGGATTAAATGCATCCCTATCCCATTTTTTTATCCCTATCCATTTTGCCTGATGGATGGTTATATCAGAATATTATCTTCAATCTTTTTAGCCGACCGGCTGTACATACATTCGTATTTAGACACAAAACTTTCTTCTGTCAAAATATTTAGTCACATTTAAAATTAAACTTATTTTATCTTTTATTGCCCCTTACGTCTATACAATAATTGTCGTCGCGGATAGTTCTTCCCACTATTATTTTTTCTTTTCTACCTGATTGAGTCCTCTAATAAGTAAACCATTAAAAACATTACTGATTAAAAAACACAGTCATTCGTCATTTAGTACTACTGTTTAGTGGTATTCCTTTTTATTCGTACCTGGGCGGTTTTAAGTTTGATTCTTGCTAAAGGCAAATGTGAACTATATTATTGCTAGCACGTTGTGAGGTTAAGCTCACATCCTCCACCTTAGTGTAGATTATTGCTAGGCTAAACCCACCTCATCTCCCTTATGTAAATCATATTATTGCTAAATAAATAAAACACACACTCACACATAACGGAAATATCCACAATAATCTCATTACAAGAGATTTTTCATATTATATTTGTATAACCTCTCTATCAAAGATATGACGCATATATAGAGATATAAATAAGGTATGAAAATAATCTAGTGATTAAAGCACACAAAAAGAGAGGTCAATATTCCACAATTCTCCCTTTACAAAGAGGAAAACGTTTAAAAAGTGTTTCTCGTATCACATTTTTGTCGTATCATATTTGTATCATCTTTTTAATAGAAATGAATATATATATATATATATATATATATATGTATATTAGTAAGTTCCATATCTTTTTAAAATGTGGTATAATTCTGATATGAAAATATGGTATGTATAACATTATATTGATATCAAGTTCGTATACATTGGTTTTTAACAGTTTTGATGTCATCGATGCATGGAAATATATTTATTAGTATTATGGGATATGAATACTCATTATTTATGGAAGTCGAATCTAAAAAATTTCATTTACTAATGAAAAATGAATATCACTCCACCCTAATACTATGCAGAATTATACATTAATTTTTAAGGCGGATAGTAGGGAATTATAATCTTTCTTTGCATGTAGGTAACTTTTGTTTTTGATAGCTCGCGTTTTTGTTGTGCCAAATTTATTCATGAGATTTGAGTTGCGATGTTTTGAGCTTCTCCGTTTGCTTTTTAAAGGGAAAAGGAATTACAATGTGAATGCCTAGTGTGCAAAACTTACCTAATCTCATGATTCGATCCATCTGTTCTTAGCACACACAACTTTACAATTATCTTTAGAAAGATCTATGTGCAATTTAGGGAGGACCATCCCTTAATGTACCCTAATCATTTTTCGATGTGAGACTCGATGTGAGACACTTGTATCTATTAATAATTGATTCCTAACGATAATTACAAAAGGGTAGCAACATGTTGCCCGCATTTTACACGTTAATTAGCACATTGTTCTCGACTTTTAAATTGACGTGATGTGTGAGATAAGAATAAAGGAGTATAAATATTTTGCACCCCAAGATTTTATCCTTTCATTGCCCCTGAACCTCAAAAGTCATATCAATATCTCAGGAGTTGCGTTATTTGCATATCCATTTTTCATTCTCATGTCCTTTCATTTTTTTATCGTCGGATCGAATTAATTGAATTAATGATAAAAAATTATCAAGATGTGTGGAAAGTAAAAATAGATATGTGTACAACACTAATATCCCATATGGTGTCCCAATAATTGTTCAACTTGATCGAGTCGCCACTCTAACACTAGTACTTGGGAGCAGAGCACCACAGACATTGGTTAGGTTTTGGATTAGCTTAAAATAATGCTAGGGAATATTTAAAGCAAGATTTGAAAACCCCAATGGGATTTGGGCCCATATTAACTGAGATCAAATTTTATGCATTCATTTTATGTGTGATTATTTTGTAGTTTCTATCATTAATTGACACGTTTTAATCTTATGACAATAAAATTAATGAAAATTAAGTTTATTACCACCGCGTCAATCAATAATAGAAGGTACAAAGAATATCTCACTTCAATAATGAATATGACTTACATATCTAAGAGCTTGATTGGGACTTTGGTGAAAAACGTTGAAGGTTATAAGTGTCTTTGTCGTGAAATTATCCAAATTTTATCGCAATGACAAGTACTTGAAAAAGCCTGGGAAGTGATTTTAGCAAAAAAAACACAGGAATACAGTTTTTTTTTTTTTTTTTTTTACAACAAAGTTAGTTTGGTTGCTTTTTCAAAAAAAAAAAACAATTCAACAACCCATAATTCTTTTTAAATTTTTATGCCCAACGTAGTCATAAACATTTTAGAATGTCGTAAAATTTTAACCCCTTTCAAAAATAATCTCGAACATGCATTTAAGTTGTGGATGGTCAACATTCATGATAATGTAGTTAGCAAAATTATCAACATCATGATTTCATTCAAGTCTTGTCAAATATTGGATGAACCAATAAGGCACACGCAATCCATTTCGTTCCTATTAACTACTGGTAGAGTAGAATTTGATTTAAGGGGAAAAAATATTGAATTTAAAGTTAGGAGGGCCAGATTATCAATAAATCAGTACGGTCCGAATATTTGAGAAAACTTTGATTAAGCAAAAGAGATTAGTGACGGGACACACTGGCCATTCTTTAATCGGGAAGAGGTTCTGAACCAAACCGTCCAATTTTATTGTTGCTGGAGTTTGATTTTACCCTCTATTGCCTCTCACAATTTTAAATTTTGTACTTTTATATTTTTCAATTTAATCGATCCAAAGTCAGAAATTGTAAAGAGTGTTTGAAAAATAAAAATGAGTATATGGATAGCACCATCCATGTTTAGGGCCAGCCCTGAGGGGGTGCAAGTGGTGCCACCGCACAAGACCCTCAAATTGGAAGGGCCTCGATTTTTCAATTTTGCATGCATAAACGTATATATAGTAGTATGTGTAAAATATTACAAACTTGAGTCTTAGTGCAAGTGATATTATTGTTTCTTTACATCGGTCTAGAGGATGGGTTCGAAACTCATCTCCATTATTTTTTTAGTTTATTTTTATTAAATGCATTAGCTTTCACAAAATAATATAAAAATTACATACAATAACATGAAAATTTGAACCTGACCCTCTAAATAGAAAAACAATACATCACCTTTCCACTTGTTGATATGTTAAATTTGTTTGTGCTATTAGAATTTATAGAAAGTTTATTTTTATTAAATGCATTAGCTTCCACAAAATAATATAAAAATTAAACACAATAACATGAAAATTCGAACCCTGACCCTCTAAATAGTTAAGAAAAAACAATACACCACCTTTCCACTTGTTTATATGTTAAATTTGTTTGTGCTATTAGAATTTATAGAAGCTCAATTGAAAATTAAAATTATTTTTTTGAACAAAAAAATAAAAAAATTAAATCTTTTGTACTTTTTAGGGCCTCAAATTCACTTTCACACATGATCTTTGAAATCTCAGGGCCGGCCCTGCCCATGTTATGTTGTTAACACGCTCTCTAATATATATAGATTTTATATACAGTGATAGATTATGTTACTGTTTAGTAGAGACGGCAAGAGCAATATGATCAATTTTGTGTTTCTGATGGCATTATTGATAGAGAAATGGTCAGTTCAGAAGTTAATATATAGATGTTGTCATTAGCTACATCATGATCAATAAGATCAATCTATCTTAGGGCATGTTTAGGAATGATTTTGTAGGAAAGTATTTCTGCTCATGAAACGATTTTATTAGAAACTCATCTAGATATTTTTTATAAAAAAAAAATTATGTTCTTTCTGAAAAGATATTTCCTAGTCGATAGGGTATTGTGTTTCTACTAATGTGTCCCGCATTCAAAACTCTCCCTCCATAAATAAATGTAAGGATAATACGTGCATTCTCCTGTTAAGGGATGAGTTCATTCAGAGTTTTATGTTTCTACTCATGTGTCCTGCGTTCGAAACTCTTTCTCCCCTAAATTACAGTCAAGATAATACTTGTATTCTCCTATTGGGGGATGAGCTCATTCCCCTACTTGCAAATAATGTATCTCCAACGTAGAAATTGCATAATCAAAACCGTTCAATGTCTTAATATTCATTTAAAGAGCATCATTACAAAAAATTATCAAAACGAAGATCGTTTTGGTCTTCCATATATATATATCAAATAAAAAT